GTTGACCTAATTTATCTGTAGCTTCCTTCTAGCATTAGAATACCATATGCACCTCTAGATATGATGCGGAAGGACCTAGAAAGTGGAAAAACAGAGCTAATTTTACCCGAAGCAATTGACACCAGCAAACCATTTTCTCCATCTGAAGAAATGAGTACTAATCTTGTCTTAACTGTGAAGACAACTCAATGACCTTCCCTGAAGTGTGAATATTCACTCCTCCCAACTCATTTGGTAAGCAAACCGTTTCTACTAAAATTAAGTAAAATGGCAATACATGTTTAGGAACTGAAAAGATGTTTTTCTGCCTAAGTAGAAGTTTAGCACCTCCTCTTCTTGTAACTATTCCAAACACCACTCAAGAAAGGCTAAAGAGTTAATGTCTGGAAAAATACAGAAATACAGGATGGCTTTGCCTGAGGCAACATTGATTTTAGTTTGCTTCAAAATGCGAAAAAGAATTAAGTCAAAGCACCACCTAGTGGTTCTCAGCTGTGTTGTGCTGCCAATTTCCCTCAGTCTGAGACCATATTGATTCCTGTGTAAGATTATGGTGTTGTGATTAGACTTCCCTGCTGTGAGTCACACCATATTGTATGAGACTGTACTTTATGAAGCCAGCCCCGCTTCCCCCCCCCCCCCCCAGCAAGGGACTCTATTACACATGAGCATCAGACCCCGTTTGGGTACAAGTACAGAAGCAATATGAGTTTGTTAGGATGTGAACACCACTGCCTGTCCAGTGCCACCCATGATGCACAGGCTGATAGCCAACTTATTGCCAAAAGTAAGAGCTTCTTAGGATGTGAACGCCACTGCCACCCAGGGAGCACAGGCTAATAACTAACCTATTCCCAAAAGTAAGAGCCTCAACATCCTACTCATTTATCAAAGCCAACTGAGACTATATGCATATTTTAAAGTCACATCAGGAAAACCAGGCTCCAGGACATATTGGATGTACCAGATAGAGGGAGATTAAAACATCCTCACCTGGACTGTATTAGAAGGACAACTAACACTGTGATGGCAGCACCCTCACCATCCTGTCACCAGACCACCCTGTGTATGAGTCAAGGAACCAGCAGGCAGAAAATTCCTGACTGTGCCCCGGGCTTCAGCTTGGGTTGGTCCTCGCTGCTGATGTCACCTACTCTAACTGCTGTTAGTCCATCCACCATTCATCTGTGTGGACCATTTTGCTCTAATGTCTCCCTGGTCTGAGAATTGACTCAACTCTCAAGAAGCTGAACTCTGCCCCTATGACTTGACTCTGCAAGGGTGACAGCAGCATCTCCAATAAGCTTTTGATGGTTAATTATTGGACTCTTCTTCCTGGGGACTCTTCTAGCAACCCTATCAGCTTCTGTTTTTACCTCTTGGCTAGGCCTCTTTGGAACATATTAAAGTCTGCTACAGCTTTTTTATCCCTTTGTACACACTCTGTAACCTGTATAGGTAGATTATAGATAAATACACACACACACATATACACACAGAGAGAGATAGACAAATCGATACAGATAGTTGGATAGATAGACAGATGTAAAGATAAATGCATATATATATACATACATACCTATATATTTTCTGTGTGATATATAAAATATGGTCTGACATTGCATATACATAGTTAAGATTGAAACAGAAGAAATCAGGTTGCTTCAATCAGCTGTCAAGGTACTTGATACTACATGAAAAATTGCTGTCAGTGGAGGAGCATACTTTATGAATTTATTGCTATTTAGTAAATTTGATATTATGGAAAGACATCAAGTTCATCTAGTTTCTGGCATGGGGACATCACAATATATAAACATGCATGAGCATGTATTCGTATATACATATATGTGGTTATATGCATGTGCGGTCAAAAAAGGAAACTTTCACATCTGTGTACAGACAGGAAGATGAGAGGGTTGGACAAGGCAGCTGTGTAGCCTTTTACCCTTTCAGCTAACACCACAACAAAACTGTGGCACTGGAAGTTGAGCAGAAAAGTCACATTTGATATTCTGACAAGTGAGTCCAGGCAATTTCAATTCCCTTCTCCCTCCCCTACTCAGATCCTTCCTGGGAGCCCATGGCAGTTTTTATTCTCTCCAATCTCTCAACACAGACATGTCCTCAAATGTCTAGAGATTGCCGAAATACTGGATCATCTTTTTTACATTCACAGATTTCAAGCACTTCCCCACAGCAAGCCTTCCTTAACCATACAAGAGCAACAGTTCTAAAATTATTCTGGAGATGATTCGCTGACTCACCATTCCTTTCTCCTGAAACTATTGCTTCATTACCTTTAAGGAAAAAAGAAAAAATGATCCAGAACATGGACATGAGTAGAATACACCAGTTTTTAGGATAGTAAACTTCCTAAATGACCAACCAAGTATCTATATTTATTTCCATTACAATTAATCTGAGCTATGTGTAAAGTGAAACCCCAAATAGCATTGCTTTGAAAAACATGTTTTATTCTCTATCACACTAAGACAACAAATGGATAGTCTGGGGCTGGTTGGAGAAATCTATGGTCATCAGGCCCAAGTCCTTCCATTGTTCTGTTTTTCTGTTTTTCCACTTCAATGAATAGCTTCCAGCCTCAGCATTATCCATGGCTCAAGTAGCTCTGGGACCCTCAGGCATTACACCAGTACTGCAGTTCCACAGATAAGTTGGAAATCAAAAGAAAACCCTTCCTTTTCTTTAAAGGGCTGTCCTGAAAACATCACACATCGTATTTGCCACAGCTAATGGTCAGACTCAGAGGCAAGGGAAACTGAATGAATCTATGAGCTACCTCTGTTCTTAGAAAATTGGAGTTGTTATTGAGCAATATAGGACTTACTTATAAGAGTGAAGTAATATTTGAGCAATGTATGAGTTGCTTAATGCCACAAATGTGCTGCCTGATAAGGAACCACAAGAACTCTATGGCAATGACTATTTGTATGGGATCAGCCATGTCTAATGATCTTGATTGAGGTTGATTAAGGGTCTGAGGGAAAGCTCACTCCTGGGTTCTTCAGCTGGCCTCCACAGAGAGGTGAAAGGCTTGACTGACATGAATCAGCTGTGTTCCATTCTCATCCTCCAGCAGGCTAGGTCTTCCATATCCACATAGAATGAAAAGGAGAAACATTCAGGACCTTCTGAGTGAGACAAGAACTTGGAACTGACAAACTGCCATTTATGTATGTTTTTATTGGCCAGAGAAAACTACTTCAAGTGAGTAAACAGAGCCATGAACTCTTTATGGAAAGAACTTTGAGATCTACTAAAAACATGAGAGAGAGGTGGAGGAAGATTTATTTGTGAATAGAATTGTCTTCCACAAAAAAAAAAAAAAAAAAAAAAAGAAAAAAAGAAAAAGAAAAAGAAAAGAAAAGAATTGTCTTCCACAAGTAGAACATGGAGGAGAGACAACGACCCAAAATACTTGGAATCTCTGCCCCTGTAATTCCTAGTCTGTTACAGAATGGCAGTGTTGGGCCTCTTCCTTCTGTATGTCCTGACTTAAACATGAAGACCTTGTATTAAAAGAGGAGCACAAACCTTACATGGGTTTGAGATAAGTGACAGTTATGGATTTATTCACTGCTTGACACATAGTGATTTTCCACTATTAAAGTGGGCATTAGTCTAGACATTAGCCCACTATCCTGCTCTTTATTGTGTGGGAGATTTGCTAAATGTGCACCAACCCTCATTTTGATTAGTAGTCATAGAATCTGAGCAGGTGGGCTTACTACTCCAGGACTGACTCATAAATTATTATTCTTAGTGGAATAAAACTAACTAACCCTTTACCCTCTGTCCTGGCGTGATCACTACATACATACATTCATTTTTCCCCCAAGACTTGTACTAAAAATAAAAGTAATATCCCAAATCACTTGCCACTTTACCTAAGAAATAATTCTTTTAAATAAAAATGTATTTTTAACTATAGGACTACTATCTGTATTGAGTTAACAATGTCTTGGTTTACAGTTATTGGGGTTCACCCGTGTCTTATTCTCACTGATCTATCCCAATCCCTATCAATCACAATGCAGACCACAAAGGAAATTGAGAAACTAGGACTCTAAAAACTAAGGGGATTTTGAGTGTGACCTCCAGGATACTGGCAATGCCTTCTGCGGGCTCAACTTTTAACTTTTATAAAACAAAAAGGCTTCTAGCTATGTATTCCATGTTTAATACAAAAGGCAACTGTCCAGCTACTTGGTAACAACAAAGCAAGAAAGAAGGCCAGATAGTGGCTGACTTGAAGGTGTTGATTTTCATGGCATCCAGCAGAGTAACATTTGTGACTGATCACATAAAATGGAGCTATGAACAGGAAGTTGATGGAAGCTATTCCTGGAGTACACAGGTGAAGGAAATCCAGCCAGCACGGTTGCTCACCTTTTGCTAAGCCATCTTCTTCTTTGGCCTGAGAAGTGGGGAAGGGAGAGGGGAGAAAGCCATTCATACAAGCATGGTGGTGAGCACCAAGCTTTTGCCTGCACATTCATACCGCATGGCTGCCAGCATCAAGAACAGGTCTGCAGGATGTCAACAAGAGAGGTGATTACAAATGGCTGTTTTCTTATATTGTGTCATCAGACTAAAGGACTTCAGAAATCTTGATTTTCATTTTCTAGAAACAAAAAAAAAAAAACATAAAATTCAAATACGCAGGAAGGAACAGAAACCCCCACAGAGAAACTTGTAAATAAATTCATCAAGTTCCAGCTACTTCATTTCTACCAATGAAGCCCAAATGAGAAGGCCAGGCTAAGTCCTTCCTCAATCAGAGCTGCAGCAAGGCAGATGCTCTTGTCAGTGTTGTGGGCAGATATGTCTGGGTTCTATTGTTTAAAAAAAAAGCCTGATATTGAAGAAGGGCTGAGGGAATAACCATGACAGGGCCATATAACATACTGGGACTCAAACTTATGACAATGTATTTCTTTCTAAAGAGCCTTGGTATTTCAATTTAATGTTCCTACCTGAAATAATTTCTCTTCTGGAAGAAAGCATATCCTATGATGAGCAGAATAATCCCCAAAAGGGTAAGTTTCACATAGAGAATGGTCAGTAAGGAATACAGAGGGCTGGTGACACCTTTACCTACAGGCAATGATAAAAATTCAGGCAAGTTCAGTAATAGCTCTAATCTAATCTAAGCAACAGCTTTAAAATCACTTACAGTGTTTCTAAAATTTTACAGAATGTCAAATTCAGAAAACCTCATCAATTATAATTTGAATGCCACTCATATATAATTGTTTCCCCATCAAGTTTAGAAATAATGTCCAGCTTTTGTGCTTGGTAGACATTTACAAATATTTTAAAGTAAATAAATACATACTAAGTATTGTTAATACTTCCCAGTTATATAAGGGAAAAGTTCCCATGCAAACCTTATTTTATTTTTATGAAAATATAATTGCATCATTTCCATCAATTCCTTTCTTCCTCCAACCTCCTCCATTTGTCCTCACCTCCAATATTCCCTTTCAAATTGCTAGCCTCTTGTAAATTGTTAGTGTCGCATATTTATACATAATATGCAAGTGCAGTCTGCATAAGTCCATGTGGTGTTGTTTGCATGCACATGATTTCAGACTGACCACATGGCTTTGGATAAGCAATTAGGGGATCATCTCTGAGGGAAGAATAGTAAGTTAAATATCAAATATTTCTTCTTTAAAGAATAAAAGGTACTCACCTTGATTCTGTTCTATGGACAGAATCTTGCTGCCAGTTGGATGGGAGACACAGCAGAACACAGCAGACACATTGTTGCGCTCCCAGAGGTATGTGCTCCTAATGGTCACAGTGCCATTGCTGTGTGATTCATTCTCAGTGACATGATAGCCATCTGGAGCCCAAAAGATCTGAGCGGCAGGCCTGCCTGCAATGGCCTCACAAACTGCAGTTCTGTTTTTCCCTGGAAACACAGTTACTTCAGGCGGTACTGTGGAGATAAAGGGGGGAAAGTTCAGCCTTGTCACAAATTCCAAAGGCATTTGTTTCTGTCTAAAATGCGGTGACCTGAAATACCACATATGTGACATTGTCACTTACCTAGAACTTGGAGGTCACGTCTCTCTTGGAACTGTCCTTCAGGTGTTATTAGTTGACATGAATACTGCCCATCGTGACTGAGGGCCACTGTATTGATCTGAAGGTCTGGACTCTGGTCAGGTGTGGAGGCCCAGGTGATCCGCCTGTCAGTGCAGTCTATTTCACTGGTCTTATTTGTTTCTGCTAAGTAGGATATTGTGCAAGGAGGCTGGCCTCTGAGGATTATTTCCCATGTTATCAATACTGCTTTTGTTGATGGATTTTGAGGGCAGCCCAGCAGAGCCTTTGTGCCCATCTGTACAAACACTGGAGTACTAACTGGATGGACACACACACACACACACACACACACACACACACACACCACAGAGAGAGAGAGAGAGAGAGAGAGAGAGAGAGGAAACTGAGAGCTTAATAGTGTTTGAGTTATCTACAATAGATTTTACAAAGTTGTATTAGAATGTTCTAGCAAGCATCCTAAAAACTTTATAATTAATAAATTACGTTTCACAAAGTACACATTGCTTTTAAAACAAATTGAAATACTACCCACCTGTGCCCTCTGCTACACATTTTTGGTGGATACGTGTGTCTGGTAAAATATATGAGGTGAACATAACAGTTTTGCTATCTAGACACAGACAACTGCTTCTCAGTCTTTGAACTAAGATCAAGTAAACCAAACATGAAAACACACTAAAATTACATTAAACTACAAAAATAGAATTCTAAAGCTAGTTGTTGGTGGACAATATTAGTGTCATCATACAACTTGGGCTCTTCAGGAACCAAAATGGAATATAAAATCATGTGATTGTCTCCTAAGATTTGATGAGTACCAATATAATCAGCAAGCCTCCTCCCGAGGATTGAGGTGGGCATTAATTTGAAAGATATAAAGTCACTCCAATTAAAAGTAGTTCATGATATTTACATTGAGCTATTTAGAACTTTTTTGGCTTATTTTTATTTACAGATTACAAATAGGTGAAATCAATTGAATTTAAAACAGTATATAATCTTCCAAGGCTTACCATCTCATGAAAAATAAACATAATAATCAGTATAAATAGAAGATGTTTATAAATATTTACTTCCAGTGAAAACATATGACTGCTCTTAAAAAACATTGAAAAAATATAATTTTACTGAAAATGCGTAAAACTGTAAAATATAATACTTAGGTATGTGGTCCTTCCTTGCTATTAGATAAGTGTAAAATTCACAGGCAATTCAGCTGAGTTTTGCCCATATATTTTATTTTTATTCTATCAGAAGTAAATACACAAGTTTACCAGTAGGCCCATGCGCTCATCTATAGAACATTTTAATTAGACCCCATAATCTGCAAGCTTTTCCTACTTAGAACCTCATGAAAACTGTGCATTGGCAAAAGACACCATGACTGATAAGTTTGCTAAAGGGTGTTTATTCTACCAAAACATATATTCCAGTTCACAAATGTGGGTGTCAGGATGAGCTCACTTTGTCATAATCAGAAACAGTTACAAGAAGGGGGAACTTTTGGCATGAATGAGACTTGGCTTTGCTAAAACCTCTCCCCTTTCTTGTTGTTGTATCACTTGCCTCCTCTGGGCACATAAGCAAGCCTCACATCTTATGACCAAATAAAGGCCATATAACCAGACAAAGAAGAAAGTGACACTTTAACACAGACCTAAGACAAAATGAAGCCCATTGTGGCTGATGGAATTGGAATGGCCTCCAAAGGGTCATATATTTGAATGCTTAATCACAAGGGAAAGGAACTGTTTGAAAGATTAGGATTAGATGTGTTTTGTTGGAGTGGGTATGGCTTGTTGAGGGAAGTATGGCTTCAAGAGTGTGCGTGAGGTTTCAAAATTCCAGGTCAGGCCCAGTAACCCCTCCACCCCTCTCTGCCTGAGGATCAGGATGTTCCTATCAACTACTTCTTCAGCAACATGAGTGCCACCATGGCCTCACCCTCATGATATTGGACTAAACTTCTGAACCTATAAGCAACTCCTCAATTAAATGTTTCCTTTTATAAGAGTTGCCATGGTCATGGCATCTCTTCACAGCAATAGAACAGTGACTGAGATACCCATGGTCTTTCCATGACTACAATTTCACAAAGGTTCACAAAGGCAAACAAAGATGCATCTTGTTAGCGAAACAACTAACAGTTCAGTTACTCAGGACATGTCACACAACAACACTTGGACCACTAGATGCTTGTACTAAGAGTAAGGCTGCAATACTACAGTCAGGGTATCAGATACTTTTCTAACCAAGACCCACTCTCAAACTCCTTGATAATGGCCACTATATGAGGAAGAATAATACCCTGTGGAAAAGGAAATGGACGATACTGTGGCTCCTGATCCTGATTATATGGTGGGTTCTGCTTCTGATAATCTTGTGGCTCCTGCCGGTGTCCCTTATTCAAATAACTGGAATCTAGAACATATTTAGGGAAAAATGAAAATCAATTTTATATGTTCATGTAGAAGAAAAGTCTTTCTCAACAAAGTTCTATTCAATGCAATAGATAACCATTAACCTTGACTAAAATTACTCACCAAAAATCACTGTAAAACAAGAGATGTATGACTTCTCAGTATGAAAGTATATTCACATCTTTAAATTTACATTTACAAAGTATTAATTAATGGTTTTCACTTAGTGAGACATCTCATTTTACCAAGAATATTTTATAAGGGGCCGCTTTTCTTTCCCCATGTCCCTACCATGATCTTGTTCAGAGTGAGCATCTTCATCCAAATTGATCTCATAAGCTTTCTTCATATAACAGACTCTAATTATTTTTGTTTCATCATATGGTAGGCATCTTACCTACACAATGTAGAGGGTTTTTTTGTTTTTGTTTTTTTAGTAAACTTAGACTCAGGATTAAAATGATTCTCCATTAACCCCTTCCTCTGCTTTAGTTGATCTTTGTAGTTACAGACTACTTATTCTCTATTCTAGGACAACAATGAAGCCATGACCACTGATACTTAGATGGTATGATGCTACCACAGAACTCCACACCCTTCCTTGTTGAAATTCTACCCTTTGAGAAACCATTACTCTTCCATTCTTAGATCTTTGAGTGTGATGGAAGATGAATTTCATGTTCCATGCAAACAGTAAAAAAGGTAGATAATTTATTAATTTTAGATAAAGAAACTTTGAAATATCAAGCATTAAAATGGGCATTGTATAAAGATGCACCACCAATTCTCCTACCAGAGCAAATCCCAATCCTTAGTTTGTTGGTACCTAACAACAGACAGTCTAGACAAAGAAGCAAAACCTGTTACAAACTGCTGGGAGAATTAGGTAAAAAGGCTTCTGCAGTTTACAGACTTCAACATCTCTCTCTCTCAGAAATGGTGACACCAACAATAGGTACAAAATCAGGCAAGGCATAACTGTGAACATACCACCTCTGTCACCAGCTCAGTCTAATTTTTGTCTCTACAGATGACTTCCTACAGTAGAAGAATACGTATTTTTCCAAGTTCATATGGGGCTTTCATGAACATTACTATATCCTGCACCATGATACACATATTACAATTTCTAAATTCATTTTATGTGTATGGGAATGTTGCTTGTATGTATCTATGTGCACCACTTACATGCCTGGTGTTGTCAGAAGCCACAAGAGGACATTAGATCCCCTGGAACTGGAGTCACAAAGAGTTGTGAGCCACCACTTGAGTACTGGGATTCAACCTGAGTCCTCTAAAAGAGCAGCCAGTGCTGAGAACCATTGTGATCCATCTCTCCAGACCAACATTTTAACACATTTCAAAGAATGGAATCATAGAATGACTACATCTTGGCTATCATGGAATTAAACTAAAAATCAATAAAAGTCAATAGATCCACAAGAATTTGGAGATGATGCCATATCATTCTAAAATAACAATTTGGTGAAGAAGATATATTAAGGGAAAATTTTAAATATCTTGAACTAAGTAAAAACAGATATTATCAAAACTCATAGAATACCAAAGAGCAGTGCCTAAAGGGAAAGATTTAGCCTACACTGCTTGTATTAGAGTAGAAAAATCATCTAAAATTCAATCAATTGCACCAAAATAAGCACAAGAAAAATTAGTCTCAAAACCAGTGAACACAGGAGTATAGAGAATATCAACAAAACTGAAGCTGATTCTGAAAAGGGACAAGTAGAGATAACAATCAACTAGCCAGAATAGTGAAAAAAAAATCGTCAACTAGCCAAAATAAGGAGAGAAAAAATCAGAAGTGACATTACTCAGATTATAGAGGACACTAAAGGACTAGGGAGATTTCTATAAAGAATTCTATGGTGACGAAAGGTAATCTAAATGAAACAGTCAAAAATCTTTGAATGGAACAACTGCCTAAATTTATACAAAGGGAAATACATGGGGCGAGGGATGAAAGGAGAGGAGGAGAAAGAAAGGAACTAGAGTCCATATTTATAACAGAAAATTCTTCAGAAACAAAGAAACTTACTAGAAACTTATAAAACGGAATAATGTTAATCATCATGTTGAAGAATATACCTAGTAACAGCCTCAAATGACACAAAGCAAAATTGAACTAGACAGACACATAGATGATTTCATAGACTTAGACAGATGTTTATGCACATCTTCCTCAGAAATGAACAGAACAACAAGAACTTTTAAAAGGGTATAGATATAGAATGCATTACAACAGTATCAATTATAGTGACCAAAGTTACTGTTATAAAACAGTTCCAATGTAATACTACATATTTTTTAAATATCATGAGTATGTTAATCAAAGTTGATTATGTGCTGGATCACAGCACAAACCTATACATTTAAGCAAGATGGCTCAGCAGGTAAAGATACGCAGCCAAGCCTGAGGATCTGAGTTTGAACCCTGGAACTCATATATGGAAAGGTAAGAACAATTCCTACAAGTTGTCCTTTGACCCCCCAAAGAAATGCTGTGTCATATACACATTCACACACACACACACACACATACACACACACGCACATGCACTCACACTCACACACACATGGGTGCAAGAGTGCAGTACACACACAAAGCACATGCATATATATTTTGAAAAATTTCTTAAGAAAATTCATTAGTTTCATATAAAGACCTCTCATGCTATCTTAATTTTGACAATGGATTATTAATGTTGGAATTGATATGAGACTTACATCTTTCACATTTTGAAGAAGATGGTATTTTTGTATTTGAAGAAAAGTCAATTTATATTCACATTGACCAGTCTGCTTAGGCAATATGGTCCTGATGAGGTAAAATTCCAACTAGAGTTCTACCACTTTAGCTAGTAGGCTAACCTGTCCCATCTTTGTACTGGTTATTTCACAGACTCTGGTCCTTATCATGCCCCATCTTTCTACTGGTTACTTCCAACAACTTTACTTAAATGCTTAAGACTCAATAATCTATGACATCAGTCCATGAATTGTGCTGCATCCAGGCCACTTTTCTTCTATTTCTCTTATGATGATGGACTGTCCCTTCCTAGCTAAATTAAGTGTGTCCACTTCACTCAGGATTCTGGATCCCACTTCTTCTCTTCTTGGACCTCTCTCTCTCTCTCTCTCTCTCTCTCTTTTTCTCTCTTTCTCTCTCTCTCTCTCTTTCTCTCTCTCTCTCTCTCTCTCTCTCTCTCTCTCTCTCTCTCTCTCTGACTACCTTAAAGATAGGAAAAGCAAGGAATATAAGAAAACAGCATTTCCAGACAGTCATTCATCTTCAAAGTCATGATAATAACAAATAAAATAATCTCCTTTGTGAAATATTTGTACAAAACTGGTTTATTAGAAATAATCTGAGTAACTATCACTTACAAAAATTAAATCAAGAACAGACAAACAACTTTTTATTCCTTTTTTTTCTTTTTTTCTTTTTTTTAAATTTTATTTAATTTTATATAACAGTCCAATTAAATGAAAACAAACATTTATACACAATATTTGGGAATTTGGGCGTCGTTCTTTCCAAACTACTTCCTGCTGGTAAGGGGCACTGTTTTGGGGGAATTGAAGAAAATTCAGATATCCTGGCTGTAGTCTGTAGGACTGTTTTGTCCAGCTGTTTTGAATGTAGGATCAGCTTGTACTCTGTTTCAGGTGGTCTGGCCTGATCAAAACACATTAGTCTGGAAGGAATCCACATCTTTTCATTTTCTGTGGAAACAAAAATAGAAATCCTTTTCCCCAGTAACTTGTCCTTCAACTTAAATTTTGGATTCAAAGCATTTTTTTTTTTTTTTTTTTTTAGCTTAATATATTATTTTACATGTCGATCCCAGTTCCCTCTCCCTTCCTCTCTCGCTCCCTCCCCCCGCCCTCCCTCTCTCCTTCCCTCCCTTTTTACCCTCTCTGCCCTCTCACATGCACTCTAAACACCCTCCCCTCCCATCCCCCCACCCCAATTCCATATGTAGGGGAATGCCATCCAGTTGGGGTCATGTAGATCTGACAGGTCCTGTGAAGTAGGGACTAGGGCTTCTCTCCTGTCTCTAGATTAAGGCAGTTATCCCTTCATGGGGGATATGTTCCCAAAGTTCTTTGTGAACCAGGGATACATCCTGGCTCCACCAGACAAGCAACTTAAAAAGACCTATAACCTGGACGGAAATAGAAGTAGTCATCAAAAGCATTCCAACCAAAAAAAGTCCAGGGCCAGATGGATTCAGCACAGAATTCTACCGGACATTCAAGGAAGAACTGTTCCTCAAACTATTCCACAACATAGAAACAGAAGGTTCATTGCCAAACTCTTTTTATGAGGCCATAATAACCTTGGTACCCAAACCTCACAAAGACACAACTAAGAAAGAAAACTACAGACCAATATCCCTGATGAACATCGATGCAAAAATACTCAATAAAGTACTGGCAAACCGAATTCAAGAATACATCAGAGAAATCATTCACCATTACCAAGTAAGCTTCATCCCTGGAATGCAGGGATGGTTTAACATATGAAAATCTATCAACGTGATCCACCATATAAACAAACAGAAAAAGAAAACCCATATGATTATCTCCCTAGATGCAGAAAAAGCCTTCGACAAAACTCAACACCCTTTCATGATAAAGGTCTTGGAGAGGTCAGGGATAAACATAATAAGAGAAATATACATCAAACCAACTGCCAACATCAAACTGAATGGAGAGAAACTTAAGCCAATTCCTCTAAAATCAGGAACAAGACAAGGCTGCCCTCTCTCTCCATATCTCTTCTATAGCATACTAGAAGTTCTAACTAATGCTATAAGACAACAAAAGGAGATCAAGGGCATCCAAATTGGAAAGGAAGTCAAACTGTCTCTATTTGCAGATGATATGATAGTTTGCATAAGCGACCCAATAAACTCTACCAGGGAACTCCTACAGCTGATAAACACCTTCATCAAACTAGCAGGATACAAGATAAACTCAAAAAAATCAGTAGCCCTACTTTTTTCAGACAATAAAGAGACAGAGAAAGAAATCAGAGAAACATCACCCTTTACAATAGCCACAAGCAACATAAAGTATCTTGGTGTAACACCTACAAAACAAGTAAAAGACATATATAATAAGAACTTCGTGGCTGTAAAGAAAGAAATTAAAGAAGATACCAGAAAATGGAAAGATCTCCCATGCTCTTGGATAGGTAGGATTAACATAGTAAAAATGCCAATCTTACCAAAAGCAATCTACAAATTCAATGCAATGCCCATTAAAATCCCACCACAATTCTTCACCGACCTTGAAAGGATAATAATCAACTTTATATGGAAAAACAAAAGACCCAGGATAGCCAAAACAACCCTATACAATAAAAGAACATCAGGAGGCATCACCATTCCTGACTTAAAGCTCTACTACAGAGCGATAGTTCTGAAAACAGCCTGGTATTGGCATAAAAATAGAAAGGTAGATCAATGGAATCTAATTGAAAATCCTGATAATAACCCACACACCTATGAACACCTGATTTTCGACAAAACAGCTAAAATTATACAATGGGGCAAGGACAGCATCTTCAACAAATGGTGCTGGCACAATTGGATGAGGGTGTGTAGAAGACTACAGATAGACCCATGTCTGTCCCCATGCATAAAACTCAAGTCCAAATGGATCAAAGACCTCAACATCAATCCATCCACATTGAACCTCTTAGTAGAAAAAGTAGGAGGTACACTTGAAGAAATTGTTATAGGAGACTGCTTCCTGAACATAACTCCAGGGACACAGACACTGAGATAAACAATTAATAAATGGGACCTCTTCAAACTTAGAAGCTTCTGTAAGGCAAAGGACACAGTGGACAAGACCAAACGGCAGCCCACAGACTGGGAAAAGATTTTCACCAATCCTATATCTGACAAAGGGCTGATCTCCAAAATATACAAAGAACTCAAGAAACGAGTCAACAAAACACCAAATAACCCTATTAAAAAATGGGATATAGAACTGAAGAAAGAATTCTCAATAGAGGAAATCAAAAACTAGATGGCATTCCCTTACATATGGAATTGGGGTGGAGGGATGGGAGGGGAGAGTGCTTAGAGTGCATGTGAGAGGGCAGAGAGGGTAAAAGGGAGGGAAGGCTGGAGGAAGGGAGGGCAGGAGAGGGAACTGGGATCGATATGTAAAATAATATATTAAATTAAAAAAAATGCTTTGACTCCAAAATTTAAGTTGAAGGACAAGTTACTGGGGAAAAGGATTACTATTTTTGTTTCCACAGAAAATGAAAAGATGTGGATTCCTTCCAGACTAATATGGTTTGATCACGCCAGACCACCTGAAACAGAGTACAAAGTGATCCTACATTCAAAACAGCTAGACAAAGCAGCCTTACAGACTACAGCCAGGATTTCTGAATCTTCTTCGAATCCCCCATGACAGTGCCCCTTGCGAGCAGGAAGTAGTTTGGAAAGAACAATGCCCAAATTCCCAAATATTGTGTATAAATGTTTCTTTTCATTTAAATGGACTTTGTTATAGAAAATAAATAAAAAAGGGGGGAAATGGGGTACAGAACTGAAGAAAGAATTCTCAATAGAGGAAATCAAAAGGCCTGAAAGACACTTAAGAAAATGCTCCACATCTTTACCTATCAGGAAAATGCAAATCAAAGCAACTTTGAGATACCATCTTACTCCTGCCAGAATGGCTAAAATTAGAATCACCAATGATGACTCATGTTGGAGAGGATGTGGAGTAAGTGGAACACTCCTCCACTGCTGGTGGGAGTGCAAACTCATACAGCCATTTTGGAGATCAGTATGGCGGTTCCTCAGGAAAATGGGAATTAGTTTACCACAGGACCCGGCAATCCCCCTCTTAGGCATATACCCAAAGGATTCACATCCATACAACAAAGGCATATGTTCAACTATGTTCATAGCAGCACTATTTGTAATAGCAAGAACCTGGAAGCAACCTAGATGCCCCTCAATTGAAGAATGGTTAATGAAGATGTGGCACATCTACACAATGGAATACTACTCTGCAGAAAAAAATAATGGTATCTAGAAATTCACAGGCAAGTGGATGACACTTGAAGAAACCATCCTGAATGAGGTAACCCAGTCACAAAAAGAGGAACACAGTATGTACTCACTCATATATGGATTTTAGACCTAGATCAAATGATCACCAGCCTATAATTCACACCACCAGAGGAACTAGGATACAAGGTATATTCTAAGAGATTCATATAAACTGCCTCACAGAACTGGGAAGGGAAAAGTCCCCTAGAGCTCAGGGGAAGTGGGGGGGGGCAGCGAATGGAGAGAGAAGTAGGAGAAAATGAGGGGGAGGAAAGGAAAGCATGTGCGACCAGGAAGATTGAACCTGGTTAGGAATAGAAGATAGGAAAGAGAGAGGGAACATAAAATAGGGAGCCAATATTGGTTTGAAGATAAAATTGAACACAAAGAAATGTCGAGAGAACTACAAGACTGCTGCCAACTAACAATTTGAGCTGCTGTGGAAAGGCTACCATAAATGCCCTTCCGGAGAGTGAGATCAATAACTAACTTATCCATGGAGCCCTCAACTAATGCCTGTTGGAAACAGGATCAAACACCCATACATAAACACTGAGTCAAACTAGAACCCAGATGCAGATGGAGAGGACAAGACCAGGCTGCAGAAACACATACAGACAGATTATCTGAACAAGGAGGAGATAATGGGCACCCAGACTGATAGCTGGACAAAGCAACCTTACAAACTACAGGCAGGATTTCTAAATCTTCTTCGAATCCCCCATGACAGCGCCCCTTACCAGCAGGAAGTAGTTTGGAAAGAACAATGCCCAAATTCCCAAATATTGTCTATAAATGTTTGTTTTCATTTAAATGGACTTTGTTATAGAAAATAAATAAAAAAAAATTAAAAAAAAAAAGAAATAATCAGGTTTAGAGTATCCTGTAGAGTGTTGAAGTGGCCCTGTTAGCCTGACACTTTGTGTCTCCAAAGGTAGAAGCTTATAATTCCAGGAGTCAGAAGGTGGAGGCACAGTCCAAAGTTAGTGTAAAGAATGGATACATTTTCTAAAACAGCTCAGAATGTCACACTTACCAGACACCAAAATGGTGATGGAGATCAGTATCTTCAAAGCCAAAGTCCTGCCCAGGGCATCCATCTGGAGTGATTTCTACTTAAACACAAATCACCATAAGCCCTTGATGGACTCAGTGAATCTGTTCTTCGAGGTCAACTTTCTGCTCAGTTCATTGGATATAAGGGTGATTTTCTTCCTCATTTTGCCTATCTTTCTTCATCTTCATTCTATGTGCTGTTCCATGACTAAGCCTGCATAGGAAAGAAGGTGTGTTGATGTTTGATAAGTGATACAGAAAGAAACCAAAGCTTAACCGTTTCATTCCCTCGCAATAGTAAAACATTAAGATACATTTTATGACAATTTCCATTTTGATGCAGTTGTTAAAGATTGATTCACATACCAGATAATGAGCAAATAATGTGTGTACAGATGATGAATCTGTACAACTGGACAAGCACTTGCAAAATTTTGAAACCAAGGTGCTGACATTTTGCTACTCAAAGTTGCTGATATGTTCTTCCTTTGTCCACTTCTCAAGAGGCAAACAGGGTGCTGTCATCTCTCACCATTTGCCTACTGTGCCAGTTCCTGAGCACCACATAAACTAAATGCTTTAGAAAGTTCTTCCCTGCATGCTGATTTGGACTAACCAAAGGATATATCATGATTCATTCATCAGTTTCTCTGTGATTTGAATTACTTTCATTGATAACTAATATATAAAGCTTCTATGAGAATTCTTGATTTGCATATACTTTTTGGTTTCTAAGGAACACATTTTCTTGGCTATATACCAACAAATAAAGATGATTGATCATAGGATGGTGTGACTTTAAACAAATAATTCCCATTATGGGTTAACTGGCATGCTGCCCCTCATTTTTGTTTTTGGTTGTGAGCCTAGCCTTTAAAGGCAGAGCCGTCAATGCAGCCCAGCTGGCCTTCATTTTTATCTTAAAATTATATACCCAAACCTGAGAATGTGGTCTTTTAAATAAAGTAATTTCATCTGTAATTAGTGCACGGTGATATATATTGATCTGTTTACATTCTGCATTAGACATCCAGTTCGATGAGCCATTTGTTTAAAATGTTGTCTTTCTTCCAGTGTCTGTTTCTGTCTTCTTTACCAAAACTCAGATGTCTATATGAATGTGCCTTATATCTGGATTTTCAATTCAATTCCATGGATCAACACTTCAATTCCACTGATGAACACATCTTTTTTTATGCTAATACCATGTAGTTTTTAATTACTATAGCTTCACAGTACTACTTAGAATCAGGAATGGTGGTGTCTCCTGAAGTTCTGTTTTTGTTCAGGATTGTGTTAGCTTATCTGGGTTATTTTCTTTTGTTTTCCATATGGCACTGAGAATTGACCTTTAAAGATCTGTAAAGAATTTCAATGAATCTGTAGAGGTCTTTTAATAGATAGCCAGGGTGTGAAATGTGGTACTTTGAGCAAAATTGACCCTCATAATCAAAAGACAGTGACACTACAAAGAGGTGTGTCATTGTTGAAGTAGGTATGTCCTGATTAGAGAAAGTGTGTGACTGTTGGGCAACTTTGAGTTCTCTTTGCTTAAGCTTTGTTGGGTGTCAGTTGAATTTCTGTTGTGTACAAGGTGTAGGAATCTCAGCTACTACTTTAGTAACATATTGGACTGCATGATTCTATTCTCCCTATCATGATGGTAATGAACAGAAACCCTAAAACTGTAAGTGAGCCAAGCCAATTAAATATTGTATACCGTAAGGGTTCCTAGGTTCACAGCAAAAGAAACCCCAAGGAAGACAATTAGCCTTAAGGGAAGAACTAAAATTATCCAGAATATGAACACAACTAACATAATCAATGTTCGTGGTAGTACACTTTCCAGTGGATCATATAAATATTTATTTCAACCAGATTTAATCTCAACTACGGGTAACGTAAAACCACAAATAGCACTGCTTTGAAAAACAAGGTTTATTGTTTATCACACTAAGGCAACAAATGGATGCTCCAGAACTATTGGCGTAAATCTGTGGACATCTGGGACAAGTCCTTCCATTGTTCTGTTTTTTCACTTTTGATAGCTTTCATCCATAACATTATCCATGGCTCAAATAGCTCTAGGTTCTCCAGGCATCACACCAGTATTGCAATTCCATAGATAAGTTGGAAATCAAAATAAAATCCTTCAATTCCTTTCAAGAATTCTCCTGAAAACACCACACATTTCATTTGCCAGAGCTAATGGTCAGGCTCAGAGGCAAAAGAAACTGAATGAATCTATGAGCTACCTCTGTTCTTAGAAAATTGGAGTTGTTATTGAGCAATATAGGACTTACTTATAAGAGTGAAGTTATGTTTGAGCAATGTATGAGTTGCTTAATGCCACAAATGTGCTGCCTGATAAGGAACCACAAGAACTCTATGGCAATGACTGTTTGTATGGGATCAGCCATGTCTAATGATCTTGATTGAGGTTGATTAAGGGTCTGAGGGAAAGCTGACTCCTGGGTCCTTCAGCTGGCCTCCACAGAGAATTGAAAGGCTTGACTGACATGAATCAGCTGTGTTCCATTCTCATCCTCCTGCAGGCTAGGTCTTCCATATCCACATAGAATGAAAAGTAGAAACACTCAGGACCTTCTGAGTGAGACAAGAACTTGGAACTGACAAACCGCCATTTATCTGTGTTTTTATTGGCCAGAGAAAACTACTTCAAGTGAGTAAACAGAGCCATGAACTCTTTATGGAAAGAACTTTGAGATCTACTAAAAACATGAGAGAGAGGTGGAGGAAGATTTATTTGTGAATAGAATTGTCTTCCACAAGTAGAACAGGGAGGAGAGATAATGACCCAGCAACTTGCAATCTCTGCCCCTGTATTTTCTAGTCTGTTACTGAATTCCAGTGTTGGATCTCTTTCCTCTCTACTTCCTGACTTAAACATGAAGAACTTGTAATGAAAGAAGAGATAAAAGAGCACAGATCTTACATGTGTTTGAGTGACAATTATGAATTTATTCACTGCTTGACATATAGTGAATTCTTTCAACTAAAGCATGCATTATCATTTTTCTTTCATCTTCATTCTTTTTACGTTTATTCTTTTGCTCTTTGCTCTTCTGGCATGCTACCACCCAAATAAATCACATGAAGTCTTAATATTACATATAAATGCCCAGCTTCAGCTTGGCTTGCTTCTTGGCAGCTTTTCTTTAATTGTCCTCTCTACATTTTGCCTCTAGGCTTCTACATTTCTGTATACCTTCCTTTACTTCTTACTCTATGCCTTGCTGTGTAGCTGTATGGCTGGCCCGTGATGTCCTCCCTTGTCAAGTTTTTTCTTTCCTTCTTGTTTTCTTTTCTTGTTTTCTCCCTCCTTCTGTCCTCCTTCCTGGATTTCTCCTATGTATCCTCTCTGCCTGCCAGCCCTGCCTAAACTTTCACCTGCCTTCCTAATGGCCAGTCAGCTAGTTATTAGACCAGTCAGGTATTTCAGGCAGGCAAAGCAAAGGAACAGATCTTCACAAAACTAAACAAATGCACCAGAAAAGAATGCAACACAACTTTGCATCATTAAACAAATGTTCCACAGCATAAACAAATGTAACACATATTCAAAAAGTGTTCCACAACAGTCCCTGTGCTTTAATGTGTGCTGAGATTTGCTTAGTGAGCACCAACCCTTAAACTTTTTCTTCAAATCAACTAGTTTCTATTGTGTACACTTCATACATGTTAATGTGGTCATAGGACTGAGTACTAGTCATGGAATCTGAGCAGGTGTGCTTTCTACTCCAGGACTGACTCATGAATTCACCCACATACAATCTTGTCCTCTCCAGAGTTATCACTGAATATAAAATAACCAGAGAACAGAGTTCTCAGGTGTAATAGAACAGCAGCTTAGAGCACCACCATTTACCCACTGTCCTGACCTGATCAATACATTCAAGTGTACAATGGACAACACTTAAACTTTTATTTTTTTTATTTTTTATTATTATTTTATTTAATTTTATATAACAAAGTCCAATTAAATGAAAACAAACATTTATACACAATATTTGGGAATTTGGGCGTTGTTCTTTCCAAACTACTTCCTGCTGGTAAGGGGCGCTGTCATGGGGGATTCGAAGAAGATTCAGATATCCTGGCTGTAGTCTGTAGGTCTTTTTTGTCTAGTTGTTTTGAATGTAGGATCACCTTGTACTATGTTTCAGGCGGTCTGGCGGGATCAAACCACATTAGTCTGGAAGGAATCCACATCTTTTCATTTTCTGCAACACTTAAACTTTTAAAAGTATCCTTTAGCATTATACATTCATTTCTCTCTATAACTTTACAAACACTAAATATAATAGGCCAAACCACATGCCACTTTACCCAAGAAATTGTTCTTTGAACTAAAAGTATATTTTTTATTATAGGACTACTATGTGTGTCAAATTAAGACAAGGTCTGGGTTCACAGTTATTAGGGTTCACCCATGTCTTATCCTTACATTCACTGATCCATCCCAACTCATGTAAGTCACAATGCAAACAGCAAAGGGATACAGACTCTGGGGCTGTAAACAGTAAGGGGGTTTTGAGTGTTATCTCCATGATGCTGGCAGTGTCTTCTCTGGGCTCAATTTTTAAGTTCTCCTAAAGTACAGAGATACAGCTAAAAAATAGATCCTAGCTATGTATTCAATGGTTAATACAAAAGACAACTCTCCAGCTACTTGGTAGCAAGGAAGCAAAGAAATAAGGACAGATACTAGCTGACTTGAAGGTGCTGTTTGTCATGGTACTTGAGGGTGTAACATTCATGATCATATAAAATGTGCCAGGAACAGGAAGTTGATGGAAGCCACTCCCAGAGGATGTGGGTGAAGGAAATCCAGCCAGCACTGTTGCTCACCTTTTGCTAAGCCATCTTCTTCTTTGGCCTGAGAAGTGGGGAAGGGAGAGGGGAGAAAGCCATTCATACAAGCATGGTGGAAAGGACCAAGCTTTTGCCTGCATATTCATACTGCATGGCTGCCAACAAACATGAAGACATCAGGAATAGGCGGGCTGGTTGTCCATAAGAGAGGTGATTACAACAGGCTATTTTCTTGTATTGTGTCATCAGGCTAATGGGCTTCAAAAATCAGGATTTTTATTCTCTTTAAATAAACAAAAATAAACAACATAAGATACAATTAATGAAGCAAGAAAGAACAGAAATCCACTGATGTCAAAAATAAACCCATAAAGTTACAGCTGCTTCATTTCTACCAATGGATCCTCAAAGAGAGGGCCTTCTTAGTTAGAACTGCAGGAAAGCAGATGCTCTTGCCAGTGTTGTGGGCACCTAAGCCTGGACTCTGTTGCTAACAACACCAGATGCTTAGGAAGGCTGTGGAACAACCATGGTAGGGCCATATAACATACTTTCCCAGCCCACTGTGTACTTAAACATATAACAGTATTTCTTTGTAATAATTCTTAACATTTCAGTTTTCTGTTCATACCTGAAATGGTTTCTCTTTGGAAGAAAACAAATCCTATAATGAGCAGAATAATCCCCAAAAGGGAAAGTTTCACATAGAGAATGGTCAGCAAGGAATTCAGAGGGCTGGTGACACCTTTATCTACAGGCAAGGATAAAAATTCAGGTCAGTTCAGTAATCAAGAACTTAGAATCAAACAGGTTTAAAATCACTTACAATATATCTAAAGATTTAGAGAACGTCAAAATCAGAAAACCTTATCAATTATAATTCAAATGCCACTCGTTTATCATTATTTCAGGATCAAGTTTAGAAATAAAGTCCTGCTTTTTGTGAATAAATACACACTAATTATATGAAGAAAAAGTTCCCATGATAATTTTATTTTATAGTTTGAAAATTTTTTTAATATAAATTTGAAGCAAGCTTGTTTTACATGTCATCCCCAGTTCCTGTACCCACCCATCCTCCCCTTGCACCCCCACCAACCCACATCCCATCCTATTTCTGCTCCCCAGGGAGGGTGAGGCCTTCCATGTAAAGTCTTCATAGTCTGTCATATCATTTGGTGCAGGGCCTAGGCCCTCTCCCCATGAGTCTAGGATGAAAGAGTATCCCTCTCTGTGGAATGGGCTCCCAAAGTCCATTCGTATACTAGGGATAAATACTGATCTATTACCTGAGGCCCCATAGACTGCCCAGTCCTCCTACTTAACACCCACGTTTAGTGGGTCTAGATCGGTCCTATTCTTGTTTCCCAGCTCTCAGACTAGAGTCCATGAGCTCCCCCTTCTTCAGGTCAGCTGTTTCTGTGGGTTTCTACAGCCTGATCTTGACCCCGTTGCTCCTCCCTCATTGCAACTGGTTTCCAGAAGTCTGGCTCAATGTTGAGCTGTGAGTGTCTGTTTCTGCTTCCATCACCTTCTAGATGAAGGCTCAAGGATGGCGTATAAGTAGTCATCAATCTCAATATTGGGGAAAGTCATTTAAGGTAGCTTCTTTACTATTGCTTAGATAGTTACTTGGGTCATCCTTGTGGATCTCTGGACATTTCCCTAGTGCCAGATTTCTCTTAAAGCCTATAATGGCTCCCTCTATTATGGTATCTCTTCTCTTGCTCTCCTCTATTCTTTCCCTGACTCAATCTTCCTGCTCCCTCATGGACACCTCTCCCCTCCTCTTCCACCTAACTCCCTCTCTCCTCCCCCATGCTCCCAATTTGCTTGTGAGATCTTGTCCCTTTCCCCTTCTCAGGGGGACCATGTCTGTCTCTCTTAGGGTCCTCCTTATTTCCTAGCTTTCGTGGCAGTGTAGATTATAGACTGGTAATCCTTTACTTTTTGTCTAAAACCCATATATGAGTGAGTACATACTGGGTTTAAGAACATATAATTGCATCATTTGCTTCCATTCCTCTTCCTTCTTCCATCCTCCCCCTGATGCTCCCTCTCAAATTGCTGCTAGCCTCTTCTAAATTGTTATTGTTGCATATTTATACATAATATGCAAGTGCAGTCTGCTAAGGTCATTTGGTGTTGTTTGCATGTACTTGATTTCAGGACTGATTACATGGTTTTGGATAAACAATTAGGGGATCATCTCATCTCTGAGAAAAGACTACTTCTCCCTCACTCAGCACCCCTTAGTCAACTATTGTTCTCTTTTTAAGGGTGAGGCTATATGAAATTTCCCCCTTTCATGTTGCTATTATTAGTTAATTATTCAGGTCTTGTTTGGGCAGATATTTTATTGAGGTTTCATTGGTGAAGCTTCCTAGTCATTTCTAGGAAACACAGTCTTAGAGTAGATTTCCTGGTCCTATGGTTTTTATAATGTTCTGTTTCCTCTCTACAACATTCCCTGAGCATTAGGTATACAAACTGTGTTGTAGAAGTATCCATGGAGACTGGACATCCATGTTCAGTGTTCTTTGCATTTTGATCATCTATGGTGTTCTATACGGGTTTCTGTCTATTACAAAGAGAAGCTTCTTTGGTAAGGGTTAAGAGCCAAACTTATTGGAGGCCATAAGCGTATTTAGAGTTCAGACAGGCCTTATGCTGATTTAGTGAAGAGCTGTAGTATTGTGATCTCTAAGACAAATGACCTCAATAACCTTGAGTAGTTGGGTAGTTTTCTAGTACAAGGCATGATATTCCTTGCTCAAATGTAATTAGGCAGCTATTGGTTGCTGCCAACATATGATTGCCACAATTGTACCTTAGAGGCTAGCCTTGCTGGTCATTGTTGTGGTTCATAAGCTTCATAGGTCGGAGGCACTATCAGTTCCTTCTCTTTGGAACAGCACCTTAGGTGGCTATGAAAGTTAGTCCTCACGGAGGAGGTTTTCAGGTCAAATCTAGCTTAGATCATGAGTTCTCTGTCTAAAGTGCATCCCATGCAAATTTTAGTCCTTTAAAAGGCATTGTTTTTTTCATTTAAAAATATGTTTTGAGAATATCATACTATGTATTTTGATTATAATTACCTACAGTTCCTCCTTCTGTCTCCTACCCATTTTGTTACCCCACCAATTTTGTAATTTTGTGACTTTTTTTTTTTTTTGATAACACACTGAGGTGGTTTTTGTGACAGATAACTTTTCTACAACTTAAAAGACTTCAAAAAGTGCTAAGTGAGTATGAAATGCTCTAAACATCTGAAGAAGCAGAATGGTGCTATCCCATTTGGTAGAAGGACAAGTTGCCCTCTGGTCTCCACATACTTAGTATGGCAAATGCACAAACATAATAAATAAACAAACAAAAGCAAAAAATACAGCAGTACTCACTACCTCTGTTCAGTGTTATTTGCAGAGTCTTGTTGCCAGTCACATGGGAGACAAAGCAGAGCACAGCAGACTCATTGTTGGGCTCCCAGTGGTATATGCTCCTGACAGTCACAGTGCCATTGCTGTGTGATTCATTCGCAGTGACATGATAGCCATCTGGAGCCCAAAAGATCTGAGCAGCAGGCCTGCCTGCAATGGCCTCACAAACTACAGTTCTGTTTTTCCCTGGAAACAGGGTTACTTCAGGAGGGACTGTAGAAATAGAATGGAAAACAAGTTTCAGCCTTGTCACTAATTCCAAAGGCATTTAAAAGCTGGTGGCCTGAAATACCACAATATGTGACAACTTACTTACCTACAACATGGAGGTCATGTCTCTCTTGGAAATGCCCTTCATGTGATGCCACCTCACATAAATACTGCCCATCGTGACTGAGGGCCACTGTATTGATCTGAAGATGAGGACTCTGGCCAGGTGTGGAGGCCCAGGTGATTCTCCTGTCGGTACAGTTGGCTTCACTGATCTCCTTTGTTGCCACTTTGTAGGATATTGTGCAGGGAGGCTGGCCTCTGAGGGTTATTTTCCACGTTATTGAGACTGTTTTTGTCAATGAAATGGGAGGGCAGCACAGCTGAGCCTTTGTACCCATCTGTACAGACACTGGAGTGTTAACTGGACACACAAACACAAAGAGAATGAGGAAAGAAAACCCTGTCCACAGAAGCATATATAAAGTTATACTAGAGCATTGCTTGGCTAATGATTATTTTCCAGAAAAATTAGACTATTGTCATATTTGTTTTATCTGTATGTTCAGTCTACTAGAATTAAGTACATTTTCACCTTCTAAAGAAAAATTGAAGGCCTCTGAGCTACACATTTCTTGTACCTCACACTGCCGATACACAAACTTAAAGAGTCCATTATAGATACAACTTTGCTGATTGGTGATTATTCAATAAAGTTATCTTTTACAATTACCTGTGACAAGAAGTTATTAATGTCACTTTAACCAGAGCAGTAATTATTTGCTTCTGATAAACATTGTATTAACTCTCTTAACTATACTATTTGGGGTCCTCAAGTCCTCACATGTCATATCCAAATAAAGGTCATCTAATTAGATGATGCATGGTTCTTTAACACAGATGTGGAATGGTGCTAATTCCATAGCCTTCCTTACTCTAAGGCAGCAAAGTTTTAGAAGCAACAATTCATGTTCCCTTAATCCAAAACCCCCACATCGCCAAATTTTTCCACTCATCCTGAATCCATCCAGCAGCCAAGACATTAGTTACTATTTCTAAACAGGGTGAATTCTGCATTCCCTCAGTGCAGGCCACAAGATTGGGAAAAAAAATACCTTCTGCCACAGGCAATGAACTACTCTGTGTTATTTGATTCCAATCCATACCTGAATATCTTGACTCTAGAAAATATTTAAATAAGAGTTTTAAATATTTAAGTGATTATAAAATAGTAATTAGAAGTCACATCATCCTGTTCAACATCTTTAAAAATATATCTATGATATATTAATTATTTCTCATTTATAAGTAACCTTACTTTGCCAAATTATCTGCAGAGTACCCTGCTTTCCTTCTTCCAACCCCTTGGTAGGTAGGCATAACACATGATCTGTCTTGATTAAATGTTTTTCTCCAGGTGTCATCTGTTGAGGGTTATTTAGTAACACTGTGAAGACCAAGTGTGCATTTGCATTGATTAAATCAAATTAACCTTGATTCAGGAGACTGAGTTAGCACCTAGATGACAGAAAGTAATCATAGAGCATCAGAGGGCATCCTGGAGAGATAGAGAGACACAGGAAACAGATTTGGAATGCACAGCTTTTTGTTTTGTTTTGACAGAGTGGAAGGACTCAGGTTTTTTGGAGGTACCAGCAAGGAAAGCAGGTTAGCTGGTTTTGAACTGGCTTCTCTGAGCTAGCAGGTTTTCAACCCAGCTTTCAAACCTTGAGATTTATTGATAAGTAGAATGACAGTGATTTAGTTATACCTTTGGTGGCAATAAGAGAGCCAGGTCCTGCAGGAGCAGATTCCTTCCAGGCTGCCACCCTAGTGACCAGGCTGCTGCTAGACAATCAGGTCAGTAATTGCTGAGTTGCAATTGTTGGATGAAATAACAGTATATTAAGGCATAGACACTGTGTCAAAGTTAAAACAACATTTAGAGCTCCAAGTGGCGTGACCACATGGGCAGAGAAGCCACACCAGCCTGGCTCTGCTGCAGTTGCTGTCTGGGCCTAACTGCATGAGCACTCACAACAGTCAGGCTGCCATTTGCCCAGGCCCTGAAAAGCAGGCTTGTACTTGGAAATTGTGGGAAGGGCTTGAGTTCACCACCAACACCATGCACAAACAGTGATAAGTCAGCAGATTTGGTGAGATACCTGGCAAATCCTTTAAGGAAGAGTTAAAAAATATTGAAAAGAAAATCATTTCCCACATTTAGAATGGGAAATATCACAATTCAGGGTGCTAGGACCCTGTATGGTGCTACTATGAATGGTTTGTAAATGGAAAATTTAAATGAAGGGATAAATGACTTGTCTGGAATTGACCTAATGTTGATTGTAATTACTATCAGTTTGGTAATTAATATCTTATCTTTTAAAAAGTGGTTTGATAGCTGTGACAAATATGATAATTTGACTGATAAGATACATGCTTAGAAAGATTTACTATTGATAAGATACAAGCTTTAGAAATACTACTGATTAAGATACAAGTGTTAGAAAGACTTACTAATGAAAATAAGAAAAATCTGGTTGATTGGATACAAGCCTTAGAATGACTTACTATTCATACGATACAAGTTTTAGAAAGACCTAATGAAAATATTAAAAATACTCAGACACAGAGGAATTTAGAGCAGAACCTAATACACTATTGCATTATAAACTGAAAAAGGAGCGACCTAAAGTTATCAGAAGACCAACCTTAATTTATCTAGTTACCATGCAAGAATGACCACCAGATGATAGGTAACCTGGAGGCTATACAGAACTTATTAGGGATCCCATAGAAATGTTATATCTGAAGAGATTCGAGGAAGCAGTCATTCCATATGATATGCATTAACTTTGTGAAACAGACATTAAATTAATGGTCAACTAGGAATAGCATTATTCCACAATACTAGAAAGATTTAGTTATGACAGTATTGGAAGCGTGTCCTTTGTTACAATGAAGAACATGTTGGAGAGAAAAAGCTAGGTTTATATAACAATGAGATAGAAATAGAGGTACTGAGATTTTCCAAGAACAGCTTCTTGGTGAGAGCCAGTATGCTGATTTGCAAAGACAGTCTATATCAGATGATAACATCTTGGTTCTCTGCCATGTAGCAGCTTCAAATGCTTGGAACAGGGTTGAACAATCAGGAAGGAATGCTGATTCATTTACTAAAATCACACAAGGCTCAATAGAAGCCTTCACTTATGGGATTCAGCTACAAATAGAATGATATCAGATCCAGACACTGGGCAAATATTAATTAATTATTTGGCTTTTAAAAATGCTAATTCAGAATGCAAAAGAGCAATTAAGCTTTTAAAGGTAAGATCAGTATCCATAGAAGAATGGACTGAAATACAGTTGATATTCTATCTCACACTTATGATGATACTTGGATGGGAGAGGTGATTTCTAAAATTTTAAGAAAAATTAAAAGGTCAGATGTTTTTATTGTGGCAAACTGGGTCACATGAAAAGGCATTATTAGGCAAGGTGTTCCTAGAAACGATATTTTTTTTCTAAAGATAATACAAACAGGATATTGCGGTAAATAAGGATCAGGATAAACAAATAGGCCGAATAGATGTTTATTCAGGGAGAAATAACTTACAACCTAGACAGATGAACACCAGGAAATTCAACCCGATCCTCTCCTGTCCGAGTCACGCCAGAAAGAGAGAGCCTTTCCTGGCCCCCTCCGACCTCCTTCCACAGGTCACTTCCGCCCATGGCTCCACCCCCCAATGGGCGTGGTCAGTGCTACAGAAGGACTATCTCCTACACACTCCCACCAGCAGTGGAGGAGTGTTCCCCTTTCTCCACATCCTCTCCAGCATAAGCTGTCATTGGTGTTTCTGATTTTAGCCATTTTGACAGGAGTAAGATGGTATCTCAGAGTTGTTTTGATTTGCATTTCCCTGGTGGCTAAGGATGTTGAGCATTTTAAGTGTCTTTCAGCCATTTTAGATTCCTTTATTGAGAATTCTCTACTAATTTCTGTACCCCACTTTTAAATTAGAGTATTTGGTGTTTTGTTGACTAGTTTCTTGAGTTCTTTGTATATTTTGGAAATCAGCTCTCTGTCAGATATGGGGATGGTAAAGATCTTTTCCAGTCTGTGGGCTGCCATTTGGTCTTGTCAACTGTGCCCTTTGCCTTACAGAATCTTCTTAGTTTGAGGAGGTCCCATTTATTAATTATTGATCTCAGTGTATGTGCTACTGGTATGTTCAGGAAGAGGTCTCCTGTACAAATTTGTTCTCTTCTAAGAAGTTCAGTATGGCTGGATTTATGTTGAGGTCTTTGATACATTTTGACTTAACTTTTGTGCATGGCAATAGACAGGGATCTATCTGCACTCTTCGACAAACCAACATCCAGTTATACCAGCACCATTTGTTGAATATGCTTTCTTCCTTCCATTGTATATTTTTAGCTGTTTTGTCAAAAATCAGGTGTTCATAGTTGTGTGGGAATATCAGGATTTTTGATTTGATTCAATTCATCTTCCTGTCTATTTTTGTGCCAATACCAGCTGTTTTCAGGATAGTAGATCTATAATAGAGCTTGAAGTCAGGGATGGTGTTTTCCTCCTTAAGTTTCTTTATTTTACAGGGTTGTTTTGGCTATCCTGGGTCTTTTATTTTTCCATATAAAATTGAGTATTATCCTTTCAAGGTCAGTGAAGAATTGTGCTGGGATTTTGACAGAGATTGCATGGAATCTGTAGATTGCTTTTGGCAAGGTTGCCATTTTTACTATGTTTGTCCTACCTATCTAAGAGCAAAGGCTATCTTTCCATTTTCTGGTTTATTCTTTAAATTCTTTCTTTAAAGATGCAAAGTTCTTGCTATAAAGGTCTTTCACTTCTTTGGTTAGCGTTACCCCAAGATATTTTATGTTGTTTTATGTGGCTATTGTAAAGGGTAATATTTCTATAATTTCTTTTTCAGCCCCTTTATTGTCTGTATATGGTAGGACTACTGATTTTTTTTTAGTTAATTTTATATCCTGAAATTTTGCTGAAGGTGTTTATCAGCTAGGAGTTTCTGGGAGAGTTTTTCAGATCACTTATGTAAACTATCATATCATCTGCAAATAGTGACAGTGTGACTTTTTCCTTTCCGATTTGTATCCCCTTAATCTCCTTTTGTTGTCTTATTGCTCTAGGTAGAACTTCAAGTACAATATTGAAGAGCTATGGAGAGAGTGGGCAGCCTTGTCTTGTTCCTGATTTTAGAGGAATAGCCTTAAGCGTCTCTCCATTTAGTTTGACGTTGGCTGTTGGTTTGCTGTATATTGCTCTTATTATGTTTAGGTGTGTTCCTGTTATCCCTGATCTCTCCAAGACCTTTATCATGAAAAAGTGTTGGATTTTGTCAAAGGTTTTTTCAGCATCTACTGTGATAATCA